CTCTGAACATTTAAAGACAGGGTTGATCTGAACATGCCGTAGTGAGCTTTCAGTAGACGTATAAGGAAGGTTCCTCACCAATTCCCTGCTCTGCGTGTGGTCTCCCAGAGGCTGCACTGCAGCGACTAGGGAAGCCACAATACTTAAATATGCCTCGTCGTGAAGGAGGACCAGTACGGCCCACTCGCTGCAAATCTGCAAACCATCCGCAAGGGTAAGATGTTATTTGCACCTCTGTTCCAGATAAATTTCATATATGGAAATCTAACACAGTGTTTATTTAACTCTTAGTTAAATACTTAACTGGCACAGCACTTAGTATGTGCCAGACATGGTTCTAAGCATTTTCCTACCATATTAATTCATTTAATTTCTCAAAGCCCTTCTGAGGTAGGCACTCTTATCTCCATTTTGCTGCTGAGGACCTGGAGGAAGGAGGTTAAATAAGATGTGCCTAAGGTGTCAGAGGTTAGCCCACAGTGGGGGATGGGATTCCAGCCCAGGCCACCTGCCTTGGGAAATTAGCCTGTAACCCCAGCTCTTGGCTCGGTGGTGGACGGTTACTGGAAATTCCAATAGCGCCATGTTCTCTGCTTGGTTTTCTTGAGAGCAGTGGGAATTCCTGACTTGTTGGCAATAAGGACAGATGAACCACAGGCTAGAGCTCCCTACCTGACACTTTTGTTTCGGCCCAGGTCCACTAGGACCTTTGGTCTCACCCCCTAGGTCTCTCTCTTCCTTGCCTTCTCCCCCAGCAGCATCTGCAGAGAATAGAGTCGCTCTTTTCCCCACTGCCCTCTCTCCTCTCCAGGGGAGTCCTGCAGAGCCATTGTTCTCCCAGCCTCAGCTACTGGACCTCTTTTGGCAAGCCCCTGGCAGCTTTTCTTATTTATCCATTAACAATTAAGTTCTAGGCATTTAACATATAAACACAGAAAACATCAGCATAATTACAGCAAAGATTTCAAAAGCTCTTTGGCAAGAAGAGGGCCTGAATATTTACTTAACAAAAGAATTCCTTCCTTCGGTCTTAAGAAAGAATTCACAATAGGATTTAACAAGCCAGCCTCTCCAGTAAATTAAAAACATTCTTTTACCCATTCAAAATATGATTTGTGTTTTCAAAAATGTGGCTCACGCACAACTTTTCAAGAGAACACTCACAACTTTTTCCCTGAGAGCTCTGTTCCCACATTGTCTTCCGATATTTCTCACTCCTTGAGATGGTCCCTTTCTAAGCAGATAGATGGAGGTGGAGGGGAGTGTGCCTTCAGGTCTAAAATTCCACCATTAGAGACTCTTTCCTTTGTTTTGAGTGTGTCTTCTACAGATGGGTATCTTTTATTACTCAAGAAGAGTGTTTGTTCAGAACGATGACTCTTTGTTAAGCATTTCTTTTGTGACTAGAGGGACTTAAGCCAGTCTGTTAGAGTACAGGGCCCTTGGGAAGAGGAGGGAGGAGGGGACAAAGACCACTGGTGGCTTTACTAGGGATAGAAGAATATCCACTTGTCCATTTGTTTGTTCATAATGACTCTTATATTCCTACCATTGCCAGACTTTCGGAATACAGAGGTACGTAAGAAAACGGTACAATCAGGAAGGCGGCAAACAGTTAAGCTACTCAGTTAAGCAAGGTCAAAGTCGGAATGGAGTCCCCAGTTAGACATGGGGACAGTTTTGGGGAGGGCGTCACAGAGACAACAGTTGAGTTTCAGAGGGTGAAGAATAATGATAATTTTAAAACCCTAACACTTGCATTTGCTATGCTTCCGGCATTATACTAAGTATCTTGCATTTTGACTCATACAATCTTCCCAAAAGTACTATAAGGAAAGTATATTATCTCTATTTTATAGAGCCTCAGAGAAGCTAAGTGATTTGCCAGCGTCCCACAGCTGGTGCAGTCCGGCTCCGGGTCTCCCTGTTAGGGTGCTTAGTCACTGAGACGTTGGGGCTCAGAAAACAGTACGCAAAAATCAAGGCCTCAGAAATGAAAGTTTTTTTCTGACCTTCTCCTACCCTCTGGTCTCTCAGGCCCCTTCTCCCCCGAGGCTGGACACAGAAACTAGAATCCGCTTCGCCAAGGCAGGTCATAAAAGCCAGAACCCTTTTCCCCAAAGCCAGCCATAAAACCTAAATCATTCCATGTAAAAACTGGCCATAAAGAAATGATCTGAACTACCTTGTTTGACTGTGGGTCATGAGACCCCCATTCCAGAGAGGGTCCTGCCCCACACTCAGAAGGAAGGATGTTGCTCAGAGAGGCCAAGAAGAATCTGGACAGACAGGCCTGGCTGTCAGCATCGGATCATGCCCTTTTGTCCAATCATGTTTCTACACGGCTGCCATACTTTGTTGAATCTGAGCATAAAAATAGACAATTTCCCCTGTATCTTTGGGTTTTCCTTTGGAAGGCTCCTGTGTAGACACATTAAATAAACCTGCATGCCTTTTCTCCTACTAATCCATCTGCTCACGTCAGCGAGTTTTAAGTAAACCTTCAGGGAGCCAAGGAGAACGTTCCCGTTGGTCCCTCCTTGGCCCCTACAAGGTATTTTTGTGTGCAGGGGTAATAATTATTTTGATCATGAAATATTTAAAATTCCAAGAAAAACACAAAGAATAACATAATGAATTTCCATGAATCCACACCCTCTATCTCCATCGCATTCCACTATTTTGCCTTGTTTGCTTAGTTTTTCTCAAAAAGAAAAGAAGTTACTACAGATACAGTTGAAATCCCCTTATGCAGTCTACCCTGAGATAACAACCATTCTGAGTTCGTATTTATGTTTCCCAGGCATGTTTTTATGCTGTTAAAGCATTTGTAGATGTCCATCAACAATATATAACATCATTTTGCATGTTTTTGAACTTATATAACTCGTGTCATTGGACAGTGTGCTTGTGCATTCAACATTTTACTTTCTAGATTTATCTACTTCAATTTCTCGTAGTCTAAGTTCATTTATTTAACTATCATATCATGAAACAGCGTATGAATCATTTAACATACTACTGTGTTGTATTCCATTTTGTGAGTAATATACCATGTTTTAATTCTCTAGCTTTTAAAAATGTTTTGCTATTACAGACAATGCCACAATAAACTCGCTTGAGCATGTTCTTTCTTGTGCTCCGAGGAGAATTTTTAGAAGGGGCATTGCTGGGGTGAAGGGCAGGCCCGTTCTCAGTCACACGTCATTAAATTCCACTCCAAAGCCATTGCCCGGTTTTGTGCTGTCACCAGCAGTGTGTGAGAGTCCTGTTCCTCTACATCCGCCCAATACTTGCTATTATCAATCTTTGGGTATAA